CACTTCTTCTTCCAATCATTATTCCTCTCTCTGTCTAATTTCTCTGGCTAATGTTTCCAGAACTATATCAAATAGGAGTGGAGACAGTGGACATCCTTGTCTTGTGCCTCTTAAGACAACTTTCACTTCCCTGTTTCTGGCTGGGTGGAGGCAGTTTGTGTGTCTGGGACACCCCTAAGTTAGAGCTTTTTTGCACACCTGAGGCCACCCATGGTGGCTCTGCAGCTGTCATCATGCCACAGAATGAATATATTGAATTACACCATGAATGTTATGGGTACTGCTTGGATTACCATGAGAAAAAGAGAAAGAAGAAAAATTGAGAGGCTCATGAATGTTTAAAGAAGGAAAAAAAAAAAAAAAAAAAGATTGGCCTGAAGGCTAAGCTCTACCACAAATAGTGCCATGCAGAGAAAATATAAATGAAGAAGACTGTCAAGATGCTTGAAAAGAGAAACACCAAACAAAAGAATGATGAAAAGACTCCACAAGGTGCAGGACCTGCCTACCTGCTGGACAGAGAGGGACAGACTATTGTGCAAAAGTACTTTCCAACATGATTAAATAAAAATGAAAAGAAAAGGTAGGAAAATGGGAGGTTGCTCTGCCCAAAGTTCATGCCCGAGGAGAAATGGAAGTATTAAAAGTTATTCGAACTGGAAAGAGAAAAAAGAAGGCACAGAAGAGGATGGTTACTAAAGTTGCTTTGTTGGAGATGGCTTTACAAGAAAACCACCTAAATATAAAAGATTCATTAGGCCAATGGGCTTACATTTTAAGCAGATCCATGTAACACATCCTGAATTGAAAGCCACCTTTTGCCTGTCAATACTTGGTGTGAAAAAGAACCATTCATCACCACTGTGTACAACTTTGGATGTGATTACCAAAGGAACACTGATTGAGGTGAACGTGAGCAAGTTGGGCCTTGTGACGCAAGGAGGCAAGGTTATGTGGGGTAAATATGCCCAGGTAACCAACGATCCTGAAAATGATGGATGCTTCAGTGCAGTCTTACTAGTCTGACAGATGTTTCATACAGTAACTTCTTACACTTATTGAAGACTACAGACCAACCAGGAAAACCAGAACTTGAATATTGCTGAACAACTCTCATGACTACAATCATCAAGAAAAATATTTATTAAATTATTAAAACGGCCCAGTTTTACAAATTGGTCTTTTATGAGGGGTCTGCAAAGGGCTTACAAATTAGTGAGACTGAACCATTTGAAAAAGTAAATGTAAGTCTTTGCATTAAAGAGCGGGTGCTGGGGCCAGGGAGATAGCTCAGTAGGATAAGTGCTTGCCTGGCAAGCACAAGGGCCTGAGTTCAATCCCCGGTTCCACCAAAAAAAA